GCTTAGGTCAAGAAATTAAATCATGACCCCAAAACTTAAATTTAAACCCTAAAATCCAAACAAAATAATGTATTTCCTTAGCCACTTGGGCGTTTAAAGATTTTCCATTAGGGGACAGAGTTGACGTACCATGAGCAAAGCCTTGACAAGGTTCATGGTAAAATCTGTCTTGTCATCTTCTTCATCCTTAATTTTCAATAAGACCTCCAAGAAATCCCCACCTTTCTTTTCACTCCCCTTATCAATCCCCAACCGTTGATTAATGATCTGATCAAACAACCGGTCCACCTTCTGAGCCGGTCCTCGCATACGCTTAGCCAAACCCTGAAGATCAAACCGGCTTAATGCTGGGAAAAAATCGGATATATTTGGTTCCACTAGGAGGTCGTTCATCTGTCTAACTAATTCAGAGAATTCAGCTCCAACAATCTCCCTTTCTTCTTCCTCAACCGTAGCTCCCCACAACATCTGCGTCACAACGTTTAATATCATCACGAATATTTGATCTCCTAGGTTAACCGGTGATCCGACCCGAGCCTGATCCGCCAAATACCTAATCGTTCGCCTTGTCTCTCGGCGACGTAGGTCCACGGATAAATCCAACCTCGCGTTGCTCAATATCCTAGTCACACATAGCTTCCTCAGCATCCTCCACCTCGGTCCATATGGTGACCAAGCGATATCAATACCACCATACATGTTAACCAAAGCCACCGCAGGAACATCGTGGTTTGCGAAGATGACGTCATTGGTCTTGAGAATCTCGCGGGCCACATCGGAGGAGGTGACCACGATTGCTAGCTTGGCTCCGAGCCAGAGTTTGAAAATGGGACCATGCTTTTTAGCTAGGTCTTGGAAGTATGTGTGAAGCTCAGGTTTGAGGAATGGGAGGTTTCCGATTATGGGAAGACCCCAAGGTCCCGGTGGCAACGGTGGAGACGGGCGTTTGGACTTGGTGTAAAGCCAAATATACCATAGAACAGAGGATAGAGCGATCACGGTTAAAACATAGTCCAGGTGGTCCCTGCGACTTAAAATCTTGATGAGACTAGAAATGATTGTCATGCTTGTAAAGTTTATAATGTAGAAACAGAAGAGTGTTTTTGGGTTTCAACTTCTAACGATTGGACTTAATCCATAGAGAACACAAGAGCCATATTGATACATCTATAATTGGTCATCAAAAAGTTTATAATCCGTATATATCATTATTTTAGTTCGTTAATGTCTTCGTAGATTCTATAGTTTATTTCTACTGCGCCTGTAGAGTGTATATATACTGTATAGATAGACAATACTTCAACCTCAACGTCAATGAATATTAATAACATATCATTCTCAGCGTCGTCCCAATATGATTTGTTCGAATTAAATTACAATTTTCTTTTTGTTCAATGATCCCACCTGTAGATTTTGTTTTGTAAATTTGTAATATACTATTATTTTCATTTTGAACTCGGATATTTTTTATTAGCGGTACTTTTCTTTTTTCCACTGGTGGTTAACGCCTTAACGGTAGGTTCCTTGCCAGCTGTATTTATGTTTAATTATTATACTACTAGTGTGATTAGAAGATTTGTTGGCTTAGTTTAGTATTTAATGATTCGGACATGATGCAAAACTAGGTATGTTCCGTTGAATTTTATTTAATGTGTTTCCAAAAGAAGATTACTCCTTCCGTTTCATAATTCTTGTCATCCTAGATTATTTTACGCAGATTAAAAAATATTGTAATTTTTGTCTATTTTAACCTCACAAATATCATCAAATTACAAATTAACTATACTC